GATACTAAAAATCGTAAAAAGAAAATTAATGTGGATAGAGAAGGTTAGAAATGAAGAGGTATTAGAAAGAATAGGAGAACAGAGGACTCTATGGAAGTCAATAAGAAATAGGCGAGATAGGTTAGTAGAACATCTTAACAGGCATGAAGGTCTAGTCGAAGACATATTAGAGGCAGAAACGTCTATCTCTTGGGAACAGTATAATCCTTTTTTAAAATAAAAGGTTATAGACGATTTAAATTTCTTAATTATGTTCGATACTAAAAATCGTAAAAAGAAAATTAATGTGGATAGAGATGGTTAGAAATGAGGAGGTATTAGAAAGAATAGGAGAACAGAGGACTCTATGGAAGTCAATAAGAAAAAGGTTGGTAGGACACCTTCTCATGCATGAAGACCTAGTCAGAGACATATTAAAGGCAGAAACAGGAGTTAAGAGGAGTACTTATAGACCTAGATTAGATAACTGTTCGCAAATAGTTATGGATATAGGATATTCTAGATTTAGGGAAATGCGAAGATTGACTCAGGATAGGAAAGAGTGGGGGTGCGTGTCCAACCAGGTTTACGACTGACGATCTTATGTTATATGAATATGTGTTATCGTAGAGCCTTTTTACTAAATAGCATAAGGCGATTATCTTTACTGCAGTCGTTGTCTCTCTTCTTTGTGTTCATAATTTGTTATTCTTATACTAAATAAATATTATACTATTGACTAAATTTAGTCAATATTTCTTCATCTCCTTTTTTCCTGAATCAATCCGTTTTTATAGTGTAACTTCGTTTGTCCGTGTATTTCTTGGTATTTCTCTCTTTTTCTTTTTAAATATTCCAGTTTCCCAAATATTTCTTGCTTGCTGTATAATGTTCTGTACTGGACATATTCGTAATTCCTGCGGATATCTATTCTGTTCTATCTTATGACACCTTGTCTTGCTTTTTTGACTTATTGATAGTACTCGTAATTCCGAACCGAATGTAAGTATCAGTCTAAATAGTGACTTGAAAATGTCAATCTTTTTAGACATGCCCTTTTCCTAAAGAAGTTTCTAATGGATCTCCGATTCCTGCTTTCCTACTTCATTTAGTGTACAACCCAATAGGTACAATATTTAAATTCCCTGACCTGTTCTATTAATGCTCCGTTTATTTGTTCCGGCTTCTATTACTTTTATTCACTCTGCCTTAATTTATGTTGAATTGAATATCATGCCCATTCTTTGCAAAGGTTGCTAAGTCATCACCAAAAACTCATACCGTAATTTTTGTAATTTCTAGATTTCTTTATCCTAACTGTAATTTTTCATCTGAGGTATTGTTTCTTTAATGATTTCATTCGTCGTTATGATAAACAGAAGAGAGCTCAGTACACTTCCTCGTCATAATTCTTGTTGGGTAACGAACTCTTCTGTAATGTTTTCCGACTTAACAGCACTTGTACATACTTTGTGCATACTCCTTATAGCTTCTATGAATTTTCTGGTCACTTTCTTTGTTTTATATTACCTTCATCTACCATGTCAAACGATTTTTCTAAATCAAAAATTGTATACATGTCTCTATTAGGTCTTGATCTAAAATCTTTTCAGTTAACCTTGATTTACCATTTTGTTGCAATGGAACCCTTTTTAAATTGTAGTAGTTACTTTTATGCCTCGATTAACCCATTCAGTTATTTGTTGTACTGCGAATATGTAACTTAAACGGTTGTAAAGATAAAACGTGTAGCGCATGTTATTGTTAAATATAGAAGTAAATCTTTCTTGAAAAATTTTTGTTCGGATAACTATTGATGCTCCTTATTTGAAGTAACAATTACACGATTTGTGCAGCGCTGATGACTATCCTTAGAAAGGAAAAGGGGATGATTTTCGTCTTGAAACTTTGCTTTTGCCTAATTCGTAGAACAAATAAGATAAGCTTGGTTTAAACAGAAAGCCTTATTAGTTTTAACTGTGTTCCTAGCAACTACGATGCATTAGAATAAAGGCAAACGAAACTACTACGCTTCCAATGGTGTTGATATAACCAATTAACTGCTGCCTTATTTGCACTGTAGATAATGACAATTAAACAAATATCTGTACTACTTAATTGCTTCCAATTTTGATTTTATATTCTGCATTTATTTGGGGTTTTTAAAATGTGACTAAAAAATTCCAAGCAAATCGAACAGTGACGATTTTTGGGGGTGTAGTCTACTTTTTGAAGTAATTTTTATTAGCTTTTTTCATTAATATTATAAAGTTAAAAAGTTTATAGGTTTATTAGTGGAGGGTAATCTCAGAAATTACGAAACCGATTGTGCCAATGCGAAAATACTAAATCGGCAATTAAATTTAGCAACCATACTGCCCTAGCGGTCTCATAGTTTGAGTACCTATAGAGAGCATAGACCCTAGTCAAGATAGAACGCTTGACTAAAATCGAGACAGAAAATAAACTCGACGTCGTATTTATTACACACTCGTATCATCCGAAAACAGCTAAAAGCGCTAAAGTCTAAAGCTACCTATGACTATAGCAATAGCTGCCTGATAACCGAATTTGAAATAATCACCAGTATCAACTAGATAAAAACAAACAAAGCCTACGGCAGGACACAATTCAATAAGTTATTGTTACCTTCGCTTGCATCAGTGGCTCTGATATATCTTCAGGAACATGATCAATTGGGGAAAACTCCGCCGAAACACGTCAAAATAGCAATCATCATAAAACCTGCAAAACCAGTTAGTTGATAGATTTGAGAGTTAGTTGCTAGTTGTACTGCTGAGCGAATGCTCTTCAATCGTATCCCACCTGCAATCGAAATATATGCCTATCCCGTTTGAGCAGGCAGGATTCAGTCCTAAAATATAACTATCAGATCTGCTAACTGCACATATAGGATTTGACGAAAACACCTAGTCCTCTGCAATCTTTGTAGGCTTTAGTACGTCCTATGATACAGTTTGTCGTCAATGACTGTTGTTTAAACTATTGAGAATGATCCCACCTATCAAGATATATGGAATAGTAGAAGGTGCTATCAAGTCAGCTGCTCAAGAATACATAACAATGGGTTGCTTCAGAGAATCGTGTTAGCTTCCTTAGGGATTATTCAACTTTCACATGCATGATATCCTCGGCACCTGGTTAAATTTGAAATCGGTTAAGTCGATTGCCTCGCACTCTTTTTACAAGAGTGAACTATCCAAAGCGCAGAAGTCAGCCTGAAGTAAGATCATGCCAATATTACTTACTTTGTCCAATGATAGCTGTACCCAAATGGATCCGATGCTAAAGTATGTTTCTTCTATCTAGCAATCGCTTGGTCGACGCAGAGAGCCTAACGTTTGATTTGTAGATACGCATAATTCCTATCAGAAATGCACACATTGGATCGACCTCTTCTTATAAAGTACATTCCAGAGTATCGCAGCCAAGCTGAGGCCCGGAAATAGCAACTTGCAAAATTTAACAGGTAGATGCCTCATGTGGGAAGCTTTAGTATATTCCACAACAGAATACTATGTCCCGTCGTGGACGAATGATGCCTACACACAAATCATTAACACACTATACAACTAATTACAGGGTGCATAAAGCCAATTCTTGGGCAATAGGTGCCGACTCCCACCAGCATTGTCCTATCTATCTCCATCCGTACAGAGCTGACTGCATTCAGCTCCTCTAAACTAAGGTCACGGAACTCATCAGCCTTCTTCTCGCGTGAGACGCAAACCGAATGTAACGTCCAATTCGTTTGGTTGGAGGAATGCATGGCTAATGCCGAGTCTGAGGAACTGTTCGAGCTTGATATTCGTGATCACTCATAAAGTTTTAAAAAAGCTCGCCGTGTTTGAAGCTCCTTGAACCGATTAAGAACAACAAGACGCAGAAAAATGAGGCTGAAGCGATGCTGAAGATCTGCGGGTGTTCGAAACAAACTGTGCACCACATCATCTTTAAATATCCTCTCACCAAGTACGACGGATCCTTGGACGTTAAAGACCTTATGAAATGTAAATTTAAGCTATGATTACGATTAAACATAGCATGTGATAAGTCGATGAAGGATTTCGCTGGTAGTAAGTAAACTAACGCTGTTCTGACTCGAGTTAAAGGTCGCTGTTTGTTGCAGTTGCTTCCTCACGTTTCGCTAGCATGAGTCGCGAACTCCTTTAGAGGTCGTTCCATCTTCGATACTGGATGAGGACTGAGTGTGATAATATCCTTACCCCTATTAAGATTTAGAAGTGGCAGTGCTTCATTTTCCGTCAGGTTGCTTCTGGAAGGCTTCTATTTTCGTGAGAATATTGACAGTCTCGATTCGTATTCCTTCGGCGTTCTCGTCCAGTAGATGTTTGATAGCTGTTTCCGTGTTGAATATGATGTCTTTAAAGGAGGAGTGATTGAAATGTCCATCCTGTCTGAATCTTCTTGCTTGATCCTAGTGATAGTGTCAAGTGCAGGCCAAAAATTTCTTAATCTGTCTCGCCAGATCACGACGTGTGTTTTCCCGGAGAAATACCGCTTCGGATATGGAAGAAGTTCGCCACTTGCGCTAGGGAAACGTTAGGAAGCAACTTCAATACACGACGGCATTTAAACTTGAATAAGTAGGTACAGCATCAGTTCACGACGTATATTTTGATAATTAGAATTTTGGAGAGCGAAGTTGGGAAGTTAAATGGGGGACATAGAATGTTGTGAGGCAAGATCTGAGGGAACGGATGAAATTTCAGATAGAGGTAAATTTGGATGTGGAAGATGTGGGTGAAGTTACAGGTATAAATAAATTCTTTTTAGAAAATATTGAATGAAATTCGAACTTTCATTGGCGTGATAATCTGACTACAAAACGGATTGTGGATTGTTAGGAATTTTAGGAAGAGTTGTACATGATTTTCGGGTGAACCAAGCTCCTGAACTTGCAATTTTGCAGCCAATAAGCTTATTCTTGTAAAAATGCAAAAAAATACCCACCTAAATTGTTTGTAATAATTTTTCAGCTATCTCGCAAGCGAAAGTAATCCCAGGTTGGGTACCGTTCGTGGCGAATCAATTTCCGACTCATTCGCCTTTCATTCACCATTCCACTGTCAACGACAACGATTCAGCCGTAAGTTTGTTACGCCACGAATCGCAAACTCCTCCGCACAGATCCAGATCGCTGCGGAGAACTCGTGAAGTCAAGTTTCGAAACTGAGAACCACCGACATCGAGTCATGCAATGAGCGGAACACTATTTCCTGATAGAGGATCTGATTATTTTTTCTGGTGCTAAACGATTTTGTGAACCGTTTCCCTTGTTTTCTTTTTTCATCGACACTAGCAGTTCATAGTTTGATAAAATGGAAAAATTATATAGATACATAGGTAACTAAAAAGGTGAAAATGCAGAAGTAGAAAGTTTTAACATTCTCTTTATATAATAATTTGATACAAATAGGGTGCATATTAGCAGAGTGAACAGTAGTAAGTACGTATTGGTCAAAAATTCGGTTATATGTTGCATCCTTTTTTATTTAATAACTGTGATAGTAAACATCAATTTCTTCAATTAACCTATACTTTATTTACTTTCTCTAGCGATGTTCCCCTTCCAATGTCTTTGAGCCGCTCTGGCAAAATCGAAGGTAGGGAGAAAAAAGCTCATTATGCTCTCGACTCTTGTTCATTAAACTTACTTTTTCATACAGTACATACCAAAAATTTTGTTCAATCTTGAATAGTAGTGCGAGTCGAAAATAAACGTTAAAGCCTTTAATATGTCTTCAAATATAAATAAGCATCTCGTTGATATTTTCAGTAGTAAATGGTACCAATAACAGCACATTTGAGTAATGCGGTTGTAGTGGATAAAATGATCAATTTTTCCGTGCAGTATTGTACGGATTATACGCTTCTCATCGGTTAAAAGTTTGGCCGAGAGTTGTCTCCTTCCTTTTCTGGCCTAGTGCTGTTCTTTTCTATTTTTTTCGCCGGTCAAACTGCAGGTTACATCGCTACAGAAAGTAAACGAAGTATAACAAATTTGACGGAAGTTACATGTTATTCTGCAAATACTGGTATATGTTTTAGATTTAATAAAATGCTGTATTAGATTATTAAATAGAGATCTTAGTATAGAACAATTGCGTTAAAGGGGATTTGTGATCGAATATGGTAGTTTGACCTCTAAAGATGATAAAATCACAAAGTTCTCCTTTTGTAAAGGGTGCGTTGCTGAGTAATCGTAAAAAAGGCACCCGCTTTCAGTTTTCTCAAAATAACTCAAAAGCGAATTAATTTTCGACATTTTTAGAAAATGCGATTTTCCATTGAAATATTCTGTTTAGTTTTCTTTTTACCATTTTTAATATCTGAATGGAGTACCTTTTTTAAGACTACTAAAAAACGCATCCCTTGAAAAAAAAGCACCTTAGAGATCAAATTATTATATTCAATCAAAAAAACTCTTTAGCGCATACTTTCTTTTCTTTTTGTCCCTATTCAATAGCCTATACAGCATAGGTTAAATGGATTTAGCATTTAGCATACATTCATTTTAACCTAAAACAAAAAACACACGAATGCATATTAGTGTTGTAAGGGAAGTATTGATATCGTAAAATCGGATTTTCATTATAACAGCAGTCGTTATATGTTATTACCGCTGCAATTTTATTTGACGGTATATGTACGTAAGTGTGTACGTGTATTGTGTAATCAAAAGGCACGTGTGTTGTTAATGTTTCAATTAAATTTAGACTGGCTATAATTAATTGCNTGTTTCTTTCTTTAATATATCTATCACATTTTATTATTATTAGTAATTATCTTTTTCTGGGGTTACAGTTATAATTGCAGTTTTGACTTTGCGTTTCTTTTCTCCTATTTTTCGAGCTGTAGCTTTAGGGTACGGCCTAATATGCTCTAGAGTTAGCGCAAGGTGTGGTGGATTTAAAACGCAAAATCCGTCACTTCACTGTCGGAAGATCCAGGCTGTGGTTCGTTTGATATAGAAGGTTCAATCTGTTGCTTACTAGGATTAATAGATTCAGTATGTAGTTCTATAGTATAGGAAGCTCTGGGTTGCGTTTCTTCGACATTTGCAATAAATTCATTTTGAGTGAAACTATCTATAAGATCCTCATTATCTGCACTTACTTAATTAAAAATTTCGTTAGGACCAGCGATGTTTTGAGGTGACTGTGGGCGATTTGTGGTGAAAGAGACATCATTAACTTAGAAAATATTGCCAACCACGAAAAGGACAGTTATGAAGGGGACGTCCCTTTCATAACCGGTTGTTGTGTCCCTTTCATGACTATTACACAAAATTTGAAAATCTAACCTCTACAGTTACCATTTCATTTGAAACGTATCTTACCTATTGTTTATTTCTAATTGAATAAATAAATTATTACGGACAATTGCAGCCAGTTCAATTAACTATTTGGTACACACTACAAATAGTTTGGAAATTATTAAAAGAAATTTACTTTTGAGCATGAAAAGATTTACAAGCACAATACTCGCGTCTGTGAAAAGACAGGAACGTGAATTACAGGTGCAAATTAGTGTGAATTGATGTTATCACACAACAAAAGTATTTCTATCCCGAGAAAATTTGTTATTTGCCCGTAACTTGAGTTGTCCCTTTCAATACGTGTCCCTTTCAATACGTGTCCCTTTCATGCCACCTCTCTCCTACTATTCCCGAGGGATAGTAAAATTAGTTGTATGTGGTCGCCGATGATATTTGACACGTATTTAGGACTAACACTAAAACCTAGTATTATATAAAAACAGATAACAAAAATATTACGGTTTGAAAAACTACCCTTTTCAATTGTACTAATTGGAAATTGCAATACGAAACTTATTTTTTGTTTCCTCTTATTTTCTTTCAAGACCGAATGCCATTTGGAATCCCTATTTGTTACACTAATTCTACATCCCAAAGTGAATATATTTCTGACGTCGTTTGTTTTACTTAACATACCAGTCATTTTATATATTGATCCGCCTCCATGACAGGTTAAGTTAATTAAAGAGAGTAGGCACCACGTGTTTTTCCAAACACTTACAAAAACCAAAACCCAACATTACGTTATTGGCTTGAGTTCCTTTATTGTACATTCAAGGCACCACCTTCATGAACTAACACAATTTTAATTTCCGTTAACAGTGCACGTTAAGGGCCGTATTTCGTGACATACTAACAATTAACCAGGCACATATGACCGAGGTTTGAATTACAAAATTACATCGTTAGAAAAGGTGAAGGACAGAAATATATATCATCATTCCTATAGGGCGATATATCGATGAAATTCATTTTACGGTTAAAGAACTTGATGAGTTACGAGCTGGAAACATGCATTGAATTGTGGAATGTTACGTGCACATTTATCCACTTTATTTGCACACAAAGAGATGCAGAGATAGTTGGTTAAATTGCATTTCATTTAGACTACGAGGTGCTACACGTATTCATTTAAAGTGCAACGAAAAACTGTTTGTTTGAGCTATAATTATTTTCGCGTGATCAAAAATAAACAGAACTATTCATCAATGTGTGTAATAATATATAAAATAACCATTATATACCTAATAATTGGAATAAAGGATAGTAGTTGTTAAAACAGATATTTATTTTGATATTAGATACCTGAATTAAGAAGTCAGAAAGTAAAATAAAAAGTGGGGACAAAATTTGCCACATTTTTCAAATTGGGTCTAAGGCAATCAAAATCTCTGAACTTATCCTTTGCAAATTATTTTCTAATACGTGTTCACCTTTACCTATCTGTAAATTTAGTTATATACCTATTTCAAAATGCGTATTACTCAGAATGGCAACGGGTTCACACTCACCAAAGGAGGAGAATCAATCCTAGACCACAGCTTTCAAGGCTAAATATTCAACCCTCTTCAAGCATAACCATGTACAAAGCCAGAGCGCTGACTGTCAACGTCATCAATATCCATCATCAATGAGAGGCTTAAACGCCTAAAAGGAAAATACTGATGTGCCGATCGTAATCAAACATCTCTCCAAAAAGCTGTTAATAAAGCAAGATGATTTACCATACACCACACGAAAGGTGGTAGTTTTTATCGTATATATTTAATAAAATGCTTTAATAATACGAAAAAAAAAAATTAAGGCATTTATAATAAACAACCAATTGGAGTTAGAGACAGCTCTAAATAAGATGGATGCGGTATTGACAAAACAGTATAGGAGACGGAGGATTAGAAGAAGTGGCTGATTTTAGGTATCTAGGAGTCAGATAAGATAAAGGTATATGTTTGGAGCACGACACTGTACGGGTGCGAAACATGAACGGTGGGTCTGGCCGAAAAGAAAAGGTTAGAAACTTTCGAAATATGGTATTACAGGATAGAGATGGTTAGAAATGAGGAGGTATTAGAAAGAATAGGAGAACAGAGGACTCTATGGAAGTCAATAAGAAAAAGACGCGACGATTTA